GTGTGTGTGTGTGTGTGTGTGTGTGTGATGGTTATATCTGTGTGATCTGCCTACGTGTGTGTTTAAATCCACTCCTCAGATGTAACGCTCGTCAAATATAGAAACACATTTGACCGGTGAAATAGTTTCGGGAGCCGCTGACATGTTGTCATGTTTGAACCGACTCTAATCTTGTGTTCTTGAGCTGTTTCATAATTTATTGTTGGTTTGATTCCTGCAGTTTGTTGAGTCAACCTGTTTGAACTCTGCTGTAATGAATCTCCTCTGTATCTGCAGCTCTGTTGCTTCGACGCAGTAAAAGTATTTGTAGTTTGACGGAGCAGATGAAGTTCGTTTCAAGGGCAGCTTGTTTGGTTTCTGATTGCGTAATCTCCCTCTGAGCAAATCACTGTGTGAAGAATGAAATAAACTCTGTTTTCGTCTGTTCGGCACATGTTCTTCTGATGGAGGCCACAGCAGAGCAGGGCGGACAGAGGGATGGAAGAAGAGAGAGGGGAGAAAGGAGGGAGAAAGGAGGGAGGAGCTGGACTGTTTCCCAGTGGCTGAAATAAATAACATTCTGTTCTCTTCAGTTTTTGACATTTTTGCGATTAGTGCTTTTCCCACTTTGACTAAATAAAAAAAAATCCAGGAATGCTCATAGAGCTGGAGCCTGGTTATGATCCCTCGAAGAGAGGGAGGCCATCATGTCTCCCCCCTGGAGGAGGCGACGCGAGAGCTGCGCTGTGGTTTTACTGTGAGGAGGCGCAGAAATGTCAGGGGGCAGGAAAAATATGTTCCCAGGACAAAAGTGAAGATCTGAGGACAGGAAGAAGATTTAAGATTAGACCTTAAATTAAAAAAAAAAGATAAGGACCTGCACATCCAGTAAAAAACAAACTATTAGAAACGTGAGAACTGAACACGTTTTTCTGTTGTTTTAAATCACACGGTCTGATTGATCATTAGACTATCTGTATCTGAGGATGAGTTTATTCTATAAATATATATATATTGTGTGTATCGTGTACAAGCTGCTGTTGGACATCAAGCAACTGCTCCTGCTGACGTTTGTAACATCCTGAAGCTGCTGATCTGACTTTGAGCCCAGATTTCCTCACAGCTCATTGAAAACATCAGCAGAAATCTGAGAACGATTTAGATCACGTTGATTTGAAGAGACACATTTTTAAAGTTGTGTTAAAACAGTATTTTGTTGAAGCAGAATGAAACAACGCAAACACACAAGTTTATAGTTTAACTCAGGGTTTGTTCTTTCATTTCATTACAGTGGATTTATAATTTAGTCGTCTTATGTCAAACTGATCTTTGAAAACGGTTTTGTCGTCAGTGGAGGGAAAGAGAAACGTGTGGTGATGATGGATCTGAGAGACGGGGTTTGTTTTTCAGGAATGATGGTTAGAAAGCTCCGAGAGAAAAATGTTAACGAGGCAGAGGAGTGCGACCACTTTTTTTTCTCTCTGTTGAGATTCAACTCCTCACTGACATTTAATGAGTTTTCTTTTTTTGGACGGTTGTTTTTCTTCCTCAGTTTCTCACGTTTATTTCTTTTCTTCTTCTCCTCCTCTGATCTGCTCTTTCCCACATCGTCCCAAACTCTTCTCCTCATTCCCCTTTTTTTCAGATTTTCACCAAACCCGGTGGAAATATTACTTGTTGAGTTAGGAATGATATTATATAAATATCTTAACGATGTCATTATGAAACTGTCTTATTACGATATAAAGTTTTGTAAAAAGAAAGTTTGAGACTTTTGTGAATTTGTTTTTATCTGTTTTATTATTTCGTCCTGTCCCTCTGTCCTCCTCCTGCAGAGGCAGCACGGAGCAGAGGAAGCTGCGTTCTCGTGACGCAGCCAGATGTCGACGCAGTCAGGAGACGGAGGTGTTCTATGAGCTCGCCCGCACTCTGCCGCTCCCCCGCAGGGTGTCCACCCACCTGGACAAAGCGGCCATCATGAGAGTCGCCCTCAGCTTCCTGCGCATGCACCACCTCCTGCGGCCGAGTAAGAGAAGCATCATCAGCTCTGACACTCTGAGTGTGTGTGTGTGTCTGATTATGTGAATGGGGCTCAGTGTTGACAGCTGCATTTATATATAAAATATATTCACTGGGTAACAAGGAAATTATTTATTTGACTCAAGCTTTAATTATTTATTCCTCAGGTGAATTCATCACATGGTCTGAAGTCTCACAGTCAGGCAGCGATTTGAAAAACTCTGATCAACAGGTGATTAAAGACAAACTGAAATAGATCAAAGTTATAACTGTGCCTGTTCATTCAGGTGAGAATCAGAAAGAGGAGTCTGAAGAGGAAGAGAGTGACATCAGGGAGGAGGAGGAGGAGGAAGAGGAGGATCCAATGGACGCTTTCTATCCTCAGACGTTGGCTGGTTTCATCATGGTGATGACGGAGGAAGGTGACGTGATCTACCTGACGGAGAACATCAGCAAACACATCGGCATCACACAGGTAGAGAGCGAACGCATCCTGCAGCACAGAACATCAGAACATAGAACCACAGAAAACAGAACAATCACGTGAAACGTGAGGCGTCAGGTTTGTGTGTGTGAGTGACGGCTGTTGTTGTCGTGGTCCACAGCTGGAGCTGCTGGGTCAGAGCGTCTACGACTTAGTTCATCCGTGTGATCAGGAGGAGCTCAGAGATCTGTTGAGTCTACGTCCAAGTGAGTCTCACTCTGTATCACAAGAAGAATCTGTAACGTAGATAAAGAAAAGACAAAGGAAGTAGCTTTCACATTGAATTATTCATTTCATCGTTGTTTGGTCTTGTGAGAAGATCAGAAGACTTTTCAAATAATTATTATGGGTCTTAATTAATCTGGAAGAATTGTCTGATAGCTGTAATTGCAGAGGTGCTGCTTTGTGTTTCACATATTTGTTGGCATCAAAAAAAAAAATAGTTTGGTTTGATTCGTGTTACAAGTGTCGACATTTAAAAAAAGATTCCGACGGAATTGGACCTTTTTATTCAAGTCTTTCTTACTTCGGTAGTTATTGTGCAAAACCATCGGCATGGGCCCAAACTAATATAAAATAAATGATTGTTATTATTTCATTATAAAAGATTTAAAAACAGAGAAAATCTGATTAGTTTTATCAGCCACATTCAAACTTGTGAACAATTTTCTCAATTCTTATCGATGATAAACGTCACAGTTTGGAAGCAAAACTCAAAGAAAGGAGCTTAAGTTAATAATTGTCTGCAAACTTTATCGTGTTGTTTTCAGGTTCGAGTAAGAAAGAACAGAAACATCAGAACGAGAGAAACTTCTTCCTGCGAATGAAAAGCACACTGACCAGCAGGGGGCGCACAGTCAACATCAAGTCTGCTACATGGAAGGTTGTGTGTTATTCTAATAGTTACACAATGTTGTTGTACAGTAAACACACAGAATTAAAGAAACTTATTTAGTATTTGAAATATTTAGACTTTGTTAATAAAGTTAAGATAAAACTCTTCCTGCCTAACTCCTCCCTCTTAAACGGACTTCTCTCTTCCTGCAGGTTCTTCACTGCACCGGTCACATGCGTCCCTTCGGTGGCAGCTCCACGTCGCCCCCTGCAGCCAGAGTGATGACCCTGCTGTGTGAGCCCATCCCTCACCCGTCCAGCGTGGAGTTCCCTCTGGACAGGTCCACCTTCCTCACCCGCCACAGCATGGACCTGCGCTTCACTCACTGCGAGGGCAGGTACCATGAGCCCGACACCCTGACCTCTGACCTCTGACCTCCTCCGTTGGGACGAGAGGGAAGAGAAGCGGAACATCGTGTTAGAGCAAAGACCAGAAACTCATTCTAGTTTTTTTTTGGTTTCTATCATGTTTTCGTTTCCAGGGTTACAGAGTTGGTGGGATACCAACCTGAAGATCTGATTGGCCGTTCAGCCTACGAGTTCCATCACGCGTTCGACTCCGATCACGTGACCAAAAGCCTGCACACATGTGAGTGTGTGCAGAAAAACTACGTATACAAGTAAAGTCGGTACAAACAGTGATCAGGAACAAAGCCACGAAAATACTTCAAGTTTAAATAATCAGCTTATTTCAGCTTTTTCAGTTTATAACACCAGAGGCCGAGCTGGGCTTTGCCACTGTTCCAGTCATCTTCAATGTCTGTCCCTGTTGTCCCTCCCTCTGTCCTCCTGTCCGTCTGTGTCTCACACAGTGTTGACCAAAGGTCAGGTCAGCACCAGTCACTACCGTTTCCTGGCAAACAGCGGCGGCTTCGTCTGGGTCGAGACTCAGGCGACTGTTCTCTACAGCAGCAAGACGTCGCAGCCCGAAGCCATCGTCTGCCTCAACTTCATCCTCAGGTGATTCACAAAATACACGACGAAGAACCAGTGAGTAGAAATCCAGCACTTTGAAAGTCAAGTGTTTCCTCTCACTCGTTAAACCGAACCCCTTCTGTCGTCCACTCAGATGAGGAAACAACACATTGGATTCTGTTGAATATTAAAACACGTTTCCTGTCGTCGCCTTTGTCGTTTTTCACACATTTGAGTAGTAAAACTTCTTCGCTGTGTTTTACACAATGAGAGGATCGATGTATTTTAAATGAAACTTCGTTCCCCTCGTCTCTTCTGCAGTTCTGTGGAGCAGCCAGACGTCGTTTTCTCTTCTGAGCAGATCCGTTGCGTTCACCAGCCCAAAGCTGAACCCGACTCACCGCAGCTCACACCAGAGGATTGTGGGTCACCTGACGTCTGTGACACTGATGTTCCAAATCAAACCAACTCCAGTGAGACTGAGGACACAGGTTCGAATCCCAGCAGCGCTACAGAGCTGTTCTTCAGACTGCAGGAGAAGCCAGAGGGGCTTTTCCAGACGGCTGATGACGACACGGACGCCATCGCACCACTGACAGGAGGTGACAACAGACAACGGGCTTCATGTTTACACCAGCATGTTAGAGGTTCACATCGTTACAGCTAAACACTGTATCTGACAGAATATGTCACGAGTTAAAGTTTGACTTTTGTTCAGTCACATGTTTCACTTTGTTCTGCTGTAAGACGAGTGACGTCTTAAGATGCTGAAGTTTATCATCTGACATAACACAGAGCTGAGAGATTTGACCATATAACACTCAGTTTATTTCTTTGGATTCCGTCTCCGTCAGGTTTTGTGGAGCTGTCGTTCGTCACTCCGCCCAGACCGGACTCGGTGCCCGACCACCCTCAGGATCTGTGCACGCCACAGCTGCGACAACTCCTCACCCCCATCTTCAACCCTCTCACACCTCCCTCGTCATCATCGCCAGCCTCTTCATCTGATCCCAGGGAGGACGACGTGATGGACTCAAGCGAGGTGGAGAGGTTCTTTGCCATTTGGCCAGAAAATGTTCAACAGAAAGAAAAGACAGTGGAGGTAAGAAAAAAAAAAAAACATCCAGAAGAATCAGGTTTTAATTTTCAGAAAAATAATCTAAACAGATTCAGAAATCGATTCCAAAGTTGGTGAAAACATTTTAAACTACAAAAGGTAAAAATAGTTAATAATAATAAAATAATTCTAATCTTTGGACATGTGGACGTGGACATGATAAATAAATGTCTGTTCTCTCAGAACATGGAGGGGATGGATCTGGACATGTTGGCTCCGTACATCTCGATGGACGATGACTTCCAGCTGACCGCCTTCAGTAGTTTGTCCGAGGAAGTCGACAAACCTTCGTCGGAACCTTCAGCTGTGACTCCTGCAGCCACACTCAGCAGGAAACGGTGCGACACACTCGATTCATGACCAGTGAATCTTGGATATAAGAAAACAACAAAGATTTTCATCTTGTACCGTCTCCTCCTCTCTTCAGGGCCCACAATCCAGACGAGGAGCTTCTGTCTCAGCTGATGATTCAGGACAAGAGACAGAAACAAACTCCTTCGTCAACAGAAGAGGAACTTTTCCTCACTCACAGATTACTGGTGAGACGACGGCAGAAAATCAATATTTCAATTACATTTAAATAATATAATGTGTCGTGGATTCAGTTGATTAGAGTTTAAAACTTTCACAGAATGATTTCAACGTTGTTCATGAAAATTCATTCAAGTCATTTTCCAAGTTTTAACCTCCAGGTTTCCGTCTTTGACTGTTTTGTGATCTCCATGTTCAGGACTGTCTGGGGGAACCCGACCAGTCAGATCTGATCTTAGACCTGGGACCAGGAGGTCGGAGTCAGCTCCTCACAGACAGAGACCCCGTTTTAGGAGGCGTTCAGGGGCTTTGTGAAACTGCAGGTAAACACATACACACACAAAGTTCTGCTAAAACAACAAACTTTCTACAAACACATTCGAGTGACATGCCTCCCTCTGGTGGCCATACTGAAAGACTGCAGCTTTTTTCTCTTTAACAAAACCTTCGACGAACTCTAAACACACTTTGACCCGGACGGACGCGTTTTCATGCCACATGTAACTGATCACATTCTGATCACTTCCAGGTCACATGTTAAAACCAGAAGTAAACGACCATTAAAGTCACATTACGCCAGATGTTTTGAGTATCAGACGCTCTTCAAGTTAAAACACTCGTGATATCTGTTTCTTTCCTCCAGCTCTGATGAGGGACATATTCGATCCTCGCCCTCCTGACCTGTTGCCACCTCTGTCGCCCTTGACTTGATGGAGCTCCCGTCGGTTCAGAGCTTGGCGCTCGACTCAAGTGCTCGAAGAGAGAAAGTCGACACGGGATCTACAGCAGCCTGAGCGCACATATACAAATGTAACACGCCAAAAACATGTACGCACCCGAACATAGACTCACATACGCTGTATCACTTTGCTGGAGGGCTCGACCAGGAAACTCCACTTTCTCTGACTGTGGAACGAGAACCAGTCACTGGTGACGTCCACTTTTTTAATGAGCGTTTTCCATCTACATTTATATTCATCAATGATTTCATGTGTGAAATCATCAAGGGTCAATCTCTCTTGTGGACAACAGGTGGTGCTGAAACCTTTCATTCAGAGGACGTGAAGAGAACCTGGACACGTGTTTTTCTATGCAGCTAAATTTAGCACAACTTTAAACCTTCGATGGAAGAAATCATCATTTGAATACGTACAGCATCTCCCATAATGCTCTGCTTTGACAACTTTTCTGCCCTTATTGTTTTTTGCTCGCACAAACAAATATCAGTGGCATCGTTTATTTCAGTGGCATTTTTATACCCTCATGCTTCATCTTTGTTTTCTTGGATGATTCATTTACTGTAAAGAGTTTTAATCTGGGGATTTTATTTCTGTGTTTCCTGAAATGAGTCGGGCGTCTGAAGGTCAGTCATGTGTTTGTCCTCGTGATGTCAACGGATTCATCTCATATCACAACACTCCTGTTCGTGAACGTGAGGCGAGAGCTCAGAGGAACTTCAGTAAACTTCACCTGTGACCTCTGTTGCAAACACACATGACACAGAGGAATCAAACAACACATGCAACATGTCGCTCTCTGCAGATTTGATTCTGCTTTTTATCATATGTCTATAACCTGATCAACTGTCAGTAGAATTCATATATTTGATTAAACACTAGTATTCATGTTTCTATCATCTATACGTTTGAATTTCACGACTTTTAACAAACTGTGCCTCGAGTTATAAAGGCTGAAAGTAGACAAGTGTTTTTCAGGCAGTGATTTGTTTCCACACTGAAATGTGGATTGTTTTGTTATTTTAACTCTAAATAAACCCTTAAACAGCAAAATGTCCAGATTCACTGTGAAAGAGCATCTTGTTTATTTCAGAGCTGTTCTCCTGTTGCCCTGTGAGCCTCTAATCCTCCAGTCAAATACATATGAATTAAGGTTTTTCTTCCTGACACAGGATCCGTTCGAAACGTCCCTGTTGATTTTTAACGCGGGAGAATATTAACCATGTTTTATTTTTATCTCTTCATCCTGTTTGTGTTCTGGAGTTCTGAATAAAGCTGTTGAAGCAGAAGCTGTGATCTGTGTGTGGAGATAAAACACTCACCTCGTCTTAGACTCCGACTCGTCAGTAAAGATTCATCTTCTCAGAAACATCCGCCCGAACATCAGGTCTAGAAAAGAATCAGTCGTGTGAGTCGATGTGCACGAAGGCTTTTAGTTTGAAATGAATCAAACAGAATATTGTTGCTGCTAAATATATATTACATTTTTACATGTAGGTGACGCAGACATCTGCACATTCACTCAAAGTCACTTAGTCTTTAGATTTCTAACCTCCAATTAACAATTACTTCCATCCATCAAATGTTTTGATCACATGACTGTGGCTAAAACAGACTGAAGTCTCGAGGCCACCTCGCCGCAGAATGAACACTTTTATTTTCCATATGATAAATAATTTTGGACTTTTCTCTGGTAAAGAATTTTTCAACCATTTGTCTTTATCGTTGAATTTATCCTTCAGGTGTATTTTATCTGTCAGAGAAGATTTAATGTGAAGAACAGAAGAATCAAAAGCAAATATTTAACAGTGAAGTGAAGTTGCTAATAGTTTGACAAACACTATTTAGTTTTATGTTTTCAAAGTTAATGAATTTCAAAATAAAGTTATTTCCAGAAACTTACAAGTAGAAAAATGTCAAAAAATGGACATAACTTCCAAACCAGACCAGAGAACAGTTTTAGTACTTCTGTCTGTACTTCTGTTTCTTTCTTTGTCAATGACTCGTCCTGATTCATCCATTCATCAGACTGTAATCTCCGCTGAGTGTTTACTGTAAACTCTACTGGCTCTTCCCCTTTTTTATTTCCTGAAAACGTCTTGCCGAAATCAAACTTCTCTTTTGCTCAAACTCCAGTCGAACACGCCCAGGATTCCCAGAGAGGAAGAAACATCTGAATTTTAACCCATCAGTGTTTTTAAAGATTCTTACACGATTGATTGAACCGCTCTCATGTTTCCTGAGAAATCATTCACTGCTGCTCAGGAAGTGATGACGTAAATAAGCAAAGGTCAAACTTCACTCTTAACCTCATAAATGGAAACACACTTTTTGAGAAACCTGTTTATTTATAGCATCTTAAAATCAGCTGAAATCTGCAAATGTCATGTAAAAATAATTTGTTGCTTCATCAACACATGTGAGTGTGTGTGTGTGTGTGTGTGTGTGTGTGTGTGTGTGTGTACTGACAGTCAGAGTGAAATAAAAACTGGTTCATCAACAGGATCTGGAAACAAAGTTTTTAACATTGAAACATAAAATGTAGATTCTGTCATTTGATCAGTTGTTTTCCATCTGATGAACTGTGTTCAATTATAAACAAGAGGTTTCAAACGATGGGCAAATTAGTATTTCAGCAGCGTCTCTGTTTTCCTCTTGAGGTAAAATGTGTTAAACATCCTAAATTAAACCAAACTAACAAACTGAACATCAGTGAAAATGCTGGAACTCGTTCTTTTACCTCTGAACGGTGATTGTTTCCTTCCTGCTCCGAGCTGAGCTCGTCTGGTGATTCCTCACCAACGACATCAGGTGACTCAAATTACCTTCAATCACAGACCAGGATGTGACATGTCCACATTTATTCATCATAACATTCTGTGCAATAACACATTGTACAAATATTCATGTTGTAAATATTACAATTCATATAATAGTTAAGATTCTTGCTTTAGGCCAAAATGAAAGTTTAAATACATTCAGGGTCTGAGAAGGCGTCAGTCGCTCTGCAGGAGTCACAGAGGGAACCAGAGGAACCAGAGGGAACCAGAGGGACCAGAGGAACCAGAGGGAACCAGAGGGAACCAGAGGAACCAGAGGGACCAGAGGAACCAGAGTCACATTGGTTTGGCCACAATCTGTTTGTTAAGTTAATCTCATGCAAACACTCACGTGTCTGTTTGGTTTCAAGTTCCTAAAAAAAATCAGCTGTACATAAAAATTAACTTTTTGAAACTCAACATCACAACATGCTGTTGCACACGTCACCATCCACCACAGAGGGTCCGTGCAGCACGCTGGTGTCAGAGCAACGTCTCAGCTAGAGATGGAGAATACAGCCGGTTCCCATGGAAACTCAAAAGGTTCCTTTACCACATGACTTCATGAAGATAACCTGGATCAGCCCGTCACTGACGGGAAGGATGGACAACGTCTCCAGAACAACACTGAAAACACACACACACACACACACACACACACACACACACACACACACACA